CCCCCCCAATTGCAGAGAAGACACTGGCACCCCACTCTAGTACTCTTGCCTGGAAAATCCCATGGACGGAGGAGCCTGGTGGGCTGCAGTCCATGGGGTTGCTAAGAGTTGGACACGACTGACATGACTTAGCAGCAGCAGCAGCCCACAGATTGGTCCTCTTAACTAATGTTTACGCTCACAGTAAGTGGCACCTCTGTTTACCCAACTATTCATGCATAAAACTTGGAGTTATAATAGACACTTCTCTCTCACAACCCCATATCAAATATTTTTAACGTCTGCTTTCAAAATATCACTGAAATATGAAACTTCCCCACACTTTCGTCATTATCGTGCTCTTGTAATCTAAGTCACCATCAATTCTCAGGTAAATTACTGCAGTCTGTTGACTCACTGAATTTTCCTTTCCTTGTGGCTCAGCTGTAAAGAATCTGCCTGCAATGCAGGAGATGAGGGTTTGATCCCTGGGTTGTGATGATCTCCTGGAGGAGGAAATGGCAACCGACTCCAGTGTTTCTGCAGGGAAATTCCAATGCACAGAGGAGCCTGGCGGGCTACAGTTCACGGAGTCGCAAAGAGTCAGACACAACTGAACAACTGAGCACACACACAAACACCCCATATGCTACCACCTCTTGACAGTCAATCCTCATCAGGATTGTTTTTTCTAAAATGAAATTTGTTTTTCTGTGTTTTTCTTAAACTCCACCAGAGTCTTCCTTTCATACCAGTAAAGTCACCCAAAGCTTTACCTTGCCTAACATGTCCCTTCTTGGTCTTCCTTCTTCTTGGCCACCTTTCTGACTCTTCTGATACTGGTATCACTTCGCTGACTCAGATTCACCAATATAACGCTATGGAACCAATCTTGAAGAACTGTTTTGTATTCTTTTATGTGATAGGCACGTGTAGCCACAAGTGGAGACACAGGACGCTCAGGAAAGCAAAGCTTGTTTTAGTCTTGGGTCCTAGAGATGGGATTGCCATATGCCATACAGGTTCACAGGGTGGTGCCAGGTTTTAGTCTGGTGGTAGAAGACAAGAATACTGTTCATAATGTTCATGGCGTTCCCAAGGCAAGAATACTGAAGTGGTTGGCCAGTCCCTTCTCCAGTGGACCACGTTTTGTCACAACTTTCCACCATGACGCATCCATCTTGGGTGGCCCTACACAGCATGGCTCATAGTTTCATTGAGTTAGACAAGGCTGTGGTCCATGTGATCAGATTGGTTAGTTTTCTGTGATTGTGGTTTTCAGTTTTTCTGCCCTCTGATGGAGAAGGAAAAGAGAAAACCCCGGAGCGAGGTTCTACCTACCCGAGGCCGCTGGTGTGCGGAGACCCCGGGGGAAGCCACCGTCACCATGTCTGACCAGGAAGCAAAACCTTCAACCGAGGACTTGGGGGATAAGAAGGAAGGAGAATATATTAAAGTCATTGGACAGGATAGCAGTGAGATTCACTTCAAAGTGAAAATGACGACACATCTCAAGAAACTCAAAGAATCATACTGTCAAAGACAGGGAGTTCCCATGAATTCACTCAGGTTTCTCTTTGAAGGTCAGAGAATTGCTGATAATCACACTCCAAAAGAACTGGGAATGGAGGAAGAAGATGTGATTGAAGTTTATCAGGAACAAACAGGGGNGGAGTTGGTGATGGACAGGGAGGTGTGGTGTGCTGCAGTCCATGGGGTCGCAAAGAGCTGGACACGACTGAGCAACTGAACTGAACTGAAAAGACAATAATAAAGGGGAGGCTTAGAACCTTTATTCAGATTTTTATAGGAAGGCAAGACAGAGCAGGCCAAGCAGGTTGTGACTGGCCATTCTGAGTAATTTCAGAGGCCTTTAAGTTATGACAGTGGTCCCCATATACCTGGTAACTGGCCCTGGGAATGATTGAGACAGAGCAATATTGTCTTTCAAGGATGCATGGGCCAGATAGAAGAGGTTAAGGCTAGGAACTGATTAGTTTGCATGTCAAACACACACTTCCTGCTGAATTCTTTGCTTTCTCTAGGAATTGGCTAGCCCTAGGAGAGACCATCTCTTCCCTAGCCAAAAAGAATTTTTTTTTAAGATTTAAAACATTATAATAATAAAAAATTAGCAATACAGGAGTACAGATTCTTCTACATTCAAATGAGGAAAGAGAGAACAGAGTGACACATCCCTTTTTTTACCACTTTGGCCAGGATATATCACTTATCACATCATTTTCGCTTTAATTTCAGAGACCCGGGTTCCATTCCTGTTTGGGGAAGATCCCATGGAGAAGGAAATAGCAACCCATTCCAGTATTCTTGCCTGGAAAAGCCTGTGGCAGGCGGAGCCTGACAGGCTACAGTCCAAAGAACTGAGAGACTTCACTTTTCACTTTCACTTTCTTATTTTCAAATATGTAGCCAGGCTACACACTTAGATGTAAAGGAAGCTGGGAAATGTAGTGCCTGGGCAGGCAGCCAATTTCCAGAAGCAACTCTACATTCTGGTAGGGGATACGAATGAATCTTGGGTGGAGCGCCCTATGTCTAATTAGCCTACCTGCTATTTCTTTAAAACACTAAGAATGTTCTCTTGCTGGGCATTTTATTAGACATTTCTTTTGTTGGAAACACTTTTCTCAGACCTCTTTGTGGCTCATTTCTTCACTTTATTCTGTTTTTGTTTAAACATCACCTATTCACAATGTTTTTTCTGACCATACAAGATATCTTGATAGCGCCTAACTGATATTGTAACACAGATTTCTTGTTTGTTTACTTTGTACCCAGGAGAAAGTCAACAATACAATTACAAAGATGGCCTGTTTGATTTCTTGCCATGTCCTTAGTGCTAAATCCAGTGACTAGCAAATTCTGGGAGCTAAAAATATTTAAATTTAGGGCTTTGAAAATTAAGGAAAAAATGGTAATTTTGGGCTCCCCTGGTGGCTTAGTGGTAAAGAATCCATCTGTCAGTGTGGGAGACATGGGTTTGATGCTTGAGTCAGGAAGGTATCCTGGAAAAGGAAATGGCAACCCACTCCAGAATTCTTGCTGGAATAATTTCACGGACCAGCAACCTGGTGGACTGCAATGTGGTGGCAAAGAGTCAATGCAACTTAGTGACCTCACAGCAACAACAAACAACAACAAAGGTAACTTTATATAGGTAAGGAAGTATGAATTCTTTGAACAAACATGCAGGGACTGATACAGTCTCAGAAGCAGGAAATATATGTACTCTAATTTCAAGCTCTACATGTGGATTCATACAAGATGCCATTCTGGCATGTGTATATTATTTTCCTTAAAAGTAGCAGCCATAAAATATTTTTGAGCAACAAATATCATAATTTAATCTTTTATCAAGAAAGATCATTGTGAGTGTGGTTTGAATGTAGAGAGGGAGAAAGGGAGAGTCTTGAAGAAGGGATGCAGGAAATTGTACCGGAAAGGAAAATACATCGTAACACCTCAGTTTTCCAGGCAGGATAGTGAGGATTTAATAATGTTCCTACCTTAATATGGACTCCCAGCAATCTTGTAACATTGGCATTATTTCCATTTCTTTTAAAGATAAGGTAACAGGGACTTCCCTGAGAGTCCAGTGGTTAAGGCTGCACACTTTCAATGCAGGGAGTATGGATTTGATCCCTGGTAGGAAACTAGGATCCTACATGCTATGTGGTAGTCAAAATAATAATGATAAGAAATAAAGATAAGGGGAACACATTTCATAAAAGAAGTCATCTACTCAAGATTATAGAGTTAATAATTGGCTCAGATCTGTGTACCTATAAACTTAATTTGTGTTTTTAGGATATCATGGCAAGCAGAGCAGTAGATTCTGTCAAGGTTAAAATGGCCTATTTATCAGTGTCAGTTGATGGTGGGGTGGAAGGTGAATTACAGGTGAAGCAGTAGAAAAGAAGGGGTGAAGTTTTAATGGTGCTTGATGGTATTAATCAAGATAGAGGGCTTATGGGGAAGAATAGATTCACCAAGGGAGACAGGAATGATAACTGCCTTGCTTTGCGTCTCAAGTTCTGGGCAACCTACTTTGTATTAATGTGTAGCAAATTACTTGAAATTTGATTCCAATTACTAATTTACAGTTGAACATTAGTTAGCAGTTTTATTCCATATTCTTAATTTTACAAATTACTATTTTTAAGATTTTGTAATTAATAGGTTTACCAAAAACATTTTCTGTCATTGGATACACGAATAGATCTCCCATTGGACTGGAAATCGGTAGCTTTTGGCCTCAGGACTGTAAATACTTTCACACAGTCAGGTTTACCAAGAATCACAGAGATTCTGTTTTGAGGCCAAGCACAGGTTGGCTGAAGAAGAGCAAACTAAGTAATGATAAATGGTGGGATATCAAATTAGAGCAGGTGTCTAGCAGGAGGCCTGGAAGATTGGTATTGAGCCCAGACTTATTTAACACTCTCATTAATGAACTGGAAAAACAGGTAAAGCACTATGTCAAGCTTGAAGAAATGCTGTGAAAAGCAGAGGGGAGTGCAATCACCTGCAGGCACCTTGAATTCCAAAATAGAGTTTCAGGGAAACCAGGAGTGAAAAGTTACATCATTTTGAGCTCTAGTTAATTAGATTTACGTAACTGGAAAGTAAGTAACAAAATATACATGTCATCATTTGGATTAATATCTTCCAACTTGTTAATACATAAATCCTAAAGATATAATGGTATTTGTGTGGAAACCTTGTTTAAAAGGAAGGGTCAGGTTATTTAGCAAATGGCATTTTTCAGCTGCTACAGGCTATGTCTAGCTGCTTAAGCATTGAGAAAGTAAACATCTCCCCACAGCTATAACCCAATCAAGGAGAAAGATTGGGGTGCTCTAAGAAAAGTCCGTATTTGGACAAATCTCCTAACAAATTTCTTTGATTAAATATGGAAATACACAGATTTAGAAGGGAAGAACAAAATTTGGGGCCTTTTAACCTCATATTAATTTTAGAAAGGATGTTTCAGTGTCATCAGCAGAGATGCCTCAGCTGTCTCAGAGGACAACTGGGGAGATGGGCTAAAGAGGAGAATTTATTTTTATCTGCTTCGTTATTGGAGGTAAAAATATAAACATATTTTCCTGAAAATGTTGCTTTAAAAAGAAAAAAAAACAAGAGAGGGAATGGCTCCTTTTTTCAGGTGATCCAGTCCTGGGGCCTGGAAGGCAATGACTTGCCCAGGCTCCTGTGCGCTGGGACTGGCAGAGATACAGCCAGAATCTAGGTCCCTTGACCACCTGGCTCTATGCTGTTTCCATTTTATCAGGGAAAGTATGATCTGAAAACATTCTGTTTGCTTCCCTATGATTCCTGGCTTCTTCACAATTAATTGGGGCCATGTGACAAAGGTGGGTCAATGAAATTGGAGCAGAAATTGTCTAGAATGAGTCCATGAAAGGCTCGTGAAATAGTCTCCAGTTTCTCTCTTCCCCTTTCTGTGAGAAATAGCATCATTTCAGATCGGGAATTATTTGGCAGCTTGAATCCCTGAGCAACTATGTATAGGAAGGACCTTGTTCAGTCTGTGATGAACAAAACGTGGATGACAAAGATTTGTCGTGCTTAGGAAATGATTTGTTAATTCAGCATTATTGAGCCTCAGTTCAGTTCAGTCACTCAGTCGAGTCTGATTCTTTTGTGACCTCAAGGACTGCTGCACATCAGGCTTCCCTGTCCATCACCAACTCCTGGGGCTTACTCAAACTCATGTCCATTGAGTTGGTGGTGCCATCCAACCGTCTCATCCTCTGTCGTCCCCTTCTCCTCCAACCTTCAATATTTCCCAGCATCAGGGTCTTTTCAAATGAGTCAGTTCTTCACATCAGGTAGCCAAAGTATTGGAGTTTCAGCTTCTGCAACAATCCTTCCAGTGAATATTCTGGACTGATTTCCTTTAGGATAGACTGGTTGGATCCCCTTGCTGTCCAAGGGACTCTCAAGAGTCTTCTGCAACACCACAGTTCAAAAGCATCAATTCTTCGGTGCTCAGCTTTCTTTATATTCCAACTCTCACATCCACACACGACTACTGGAAAAACCATAGTCTTGACTGGTCGGACCTTTGTTGGCAAATAATGCCTCTGCTTTTTAATATGCTGTCTAAGTTGTTCATAGCTTTTCTTCCAAGGAGCAAGCATCTTTTAATTTCATGGCTGCAGTCACCATCTGCAGTGATTTTGGAGCCCAGAAGAANAGTTTTCCAAATTTGCTGGCATGTTGAGTGGAGCACTTTAACAGCATCATGTTTTAGGATTTTTAAATAGCTCAGCTGGAATTCCATCACCTCCACTAGCTTTGTTTCTAGCAATGCTTCCTAAGGCCCACTTGACCTCACATTCTAGGATGTCTGGCTCTAGAGGAGTGACCACACCATCATGCTTATTCGGGTCATTAAGACCTTTTTTTGTATACTTCTTCTGTGTATTCTTGCCACCTCTTCTTAATCTCTTCTGCTCAGTTAGGTCCATACCATTTCTGTCCTTTTTTGTGCCCATCTTTGCATGAACTGTTCCCTTGATACCTCCAATTTTCTTGAAGAGATCTCTAGTCGTTCCCATTTTATTGTTTCCCTCTATTTCTTTGCATTATTTATTTAAGAAGACCTTCTTCTCTCTCCTTGCTATTCTCTGCAACTCTATATTTAGTTGGGTGTATCTTTCCCTTTCTCCCTTGCCTTTCGTTTCACTTCTTTCCTCAGGTATTTGTAAGGCCTCCTCAGACAACCACTTCACCTTCTTGCATTTCTTTTGCTTTGGGATGGTTTTGGTCACTGCCTCTTGTACAGTGTTAAGAACCTCCATCCATAGTTCTTCAGGCACTCTATCAGATCTAATCCCTTGAATCGTTGTCATTTCCACTGTATCATCATAAGTGATTTGATTTAGGTCATACTTGAATGGCCTAGAGGTTTTCCCTACTTTCTTCAATTTAAGCCTGAATTTTGCAATAAGGAGCTCATGATCAGCCACAGTCAGCTCCAGGTATTGTTTTTGCTGACTGTATAAAGCATCTCCATTCCTGGCTTCAAAAAAAGATCATCAACCTGATTTTGGTATTGAACATCTTGTGATGTCCATGTATAGAGTTGTCTCTTGAGTTGTTGGAAAACGATGTTTGATATGATCAGTGTGTTCTTTTGACAAAACAGTTAGGCTTTGCTCTGCTTCATTTTGTACTCCAGGGCCAAACATGCCTACTATTCTGGGCATCTTCTGACTTCCTACTTTTGCATTCCAATCCCCTGTGATGAAAAAGACATCTTTTTTTTGGTATTAGTTCTAGAAGGTCTTATAGATCTTCATAGAACCAGTCAACTTCAGCCTTTTCAGCATCAGTGGTTGCCACAGACTTGGATTACTGTGATGTTGAATGGTTTGCCTTGGAAATGAATTGAGACCATTCTGTCGTTTTTGAGACTACACCCAAGCACTGCCTTTCAGACCCTTCTATTGACTATGAGGGTTGCTCCATTTCCTCTAAGGGATTCGTTCTCTCAGTAGTAGATATAATGGTCACCTGAATTAAATTCACCCATTATTGTCCACTTCAGTTCACTGATTCCTAAAATGTCGATGTTCACTCTTGCCATCTCCTGTTTACCTCCAATTTGCCTTGATTCATGGACCTAACATACCAGGTTCCTATGCAATATTGCTCTTTACAGCATTGGACTTTACTTCCATCACCAGTCACATCCACAACTGGATGTTGTTTTTGCCTTGGCTCCTTCTTGTCATTCTTTCTGGAGTTATTTCTCCACTCTTCTCCAGTAGCATATTGGGCACCTACTGAGCTGGGGAGTTCCGTTTTCAGTGTCTTATCTTTTTCCTTTTCACAGTGCTCATGGGGTTCTCAAGGCAAGAAAACTGTAATGGCTTGCCATTGTCTTCTCCACTGGACCACGTTTTGTCGGAACTCTCCACCACAACCCATCTGTTTTGGGTGACCCTACATGGCAATTTTAGTTTTTTAAGACAGAAGTAAAATGGATTCTAATCATATAAATAAAATGGCTGTACTGACACATTATAAGTATTTCACACAACTAAATCTGTGGAATCCAGCATCATTTACTTATTGACCTCAGAAATTTCTTTAAGGAAAGACAGTTGATCTGTAAAATACCAAGAATTATTTACATTAATGTTTTAAGAGTCCTGAGTTTTAAAAAATCTAAAGTGTTTCTCAACTTATTTATATTTTCAATCTTAGAGCAGACAGTAAATGTCCTTTTGTGTATCCTGTTCCCAAATAAGACACAATTTTATTGTTTTGGGTATTATTGAAGGTCATGTTCATTTTCAAAGTAGCCTTCCGGTATTTTTAGATGAGGCTAAAAACATACTTTCCTCACTTTTTTTCCCCTGAACTATTGTCTTTTCACTTTTGTAGGCATTCTTAGGAGAATTCACTCACTTTATTTGATTTAATGGCATTTTTTTCCCCCTGAATCATCCCAAACTCCATTATATCTCCTTTTTTCCTAGACCTAAGACTCTTACTCACCTTTCTCTTTGGAGATTTTTCCTCTTCTTCAACCCATTTTGATATCTCTCTCGTTCCTTGAGAATGAAATGCAGCTACCTGAGTGACCTCCTTCCTTTTCCTCCATCTGTAGCACTTTCTCACTTTGTAGTTTATTCATGTTAACTGAGGAGTAACTGAACAACTGAGGTATTGAAGGTATCCCCCCTTTCAGATCATGTACTGAAATAAGTGAGATCAGTCTGGGCAAAAGTGTCCATTCACAGAGAAGCCCAGAAATTTCAACCCCATGTTTCTTGCACTTGTGCCAGCTGATCAAAAACCTTCACTTAAAGTACATTATAAACATGAACACACAGATGAGTTGCAGCTATAGGTATTTATTGTTTGGTCCTTTCAGA